TCCCAGGGGAATTCTATCAAACGTTTAAAGAAGAAATCATACCTATTCTACTAAAGCTGTTTGGAAAGATAGAAAGAGATGGAGTACTTCCAAATTCATTCTATGAGGCCAGCATCACCTTAATTCCAAAACCAGCCAAAGACCCCACCAAAAAGGAGAATTATAGACCAATATCCCTGATGAACATGGATGTAAAAATTCTCAACAAGATACTAGCCAATAGGAATATAAATAATAGTGAAAGGGAATATAAGGGAAGGGAGAAGAAATGTGTGGGAAATATCAGAAAGGGAGACAGAACATAAAGACTCCTAACTCTGGGAAACAAACTAGGGGTGGTGGAAGGGGAGGAGGGCGGGGGGTGGGGGTGAGTGGGTGACGGGCACTGAGGGGGGCACTTGACGGGATGAGCACTGGGTGTTATTCTGTATGTTGGTAAATTGAACACCAATAAAAAAATAATTTATTAAAAAAAAGATACTAGCCAATAGGATCCAACAGTACATTAAGAAAATTATTCACCATGACCAAGAAGGATTTATTCCCAGGACACAAGGCTGGTTCAACACTCGTAAAACAATAAATGTGATTCATCATATCAGCAACAGAAAAACTAAGAACCATAGGATCCTCTCATTAGATGCAGAGAAAGCATTTGACAAAATACAGCATCCATTCCTGATCAAAACTCTTCAGAGTGTAGGGATAAAGGGAACATTCCTCAACATCTTAAAAGCCATCTACGAAAAGCCCACAGCAAATATCATTCTCAATGGGGAAGCACTGGGAGCCTTTCCCCTAGGATCAGGAACAAGACAGGGATGTCCGCTCTCACCACTGCTATTCAACATAGTATTGGAAGTCCTAGCCTCAGCAATCAGACATGAAAAAGACATTAAAGGCATTCAAATTGGCAAAGAAGAAGTCAAACTCTCCCTCTTGGCAGATGACATGATACTCTACATAGAAAACCCAAAAGCCTCCACCCCAAGATTGCTAGAACTCATACAGCAATTCGGCAGTGTCGCAGGATACAAAATCAATCCCCAGAAGTCAGTGGCATTTCTAGACACTAACAATGAGACTGAAGAAAGAGAAATTAAGGAGTCAATCCCATTCACAATTGCACCCAAAAGCATAAGATACCTAGGAATAAACCTAACCAAAGAAGTAAAGGATCTATACCCTAATAACTACAGAACACTTCTGAAAGAAATTGAGGAAGACACAAAGAGATGGAAAAATATTCCATGCTCATGGATTGGCAGAATTAATAGTGTGAAAATGTCAATGTTACCCAGGGCAATTTACACGTTTAATGCAATCCCTATCAAAATACCATGGACTCTCTTCAGAGAGTTGGAACAAATCATCTTAAGATTTGTGTGGAATCAGAATGGACCCCGAATAGCCAGAGGAATATTAAAAAAGAAATCCAGGGGATCCCTGGGTGGTTCACTGGTTTAGCGCCTACCTTTGGCCCAGGGCATGATGCTGGCATCCCCAGATAGTGTCCCACATCGGGGTCCTTGCATGGGGCCTGCTTCTCCCTCTGCCTGTGTCTCTGCCTCTCTGTCTGTCTGTCTCTCTCTCTCTCTATCTCTCTCTCTGTCTCTCATGAAAAAATAAATAAAATATTTAAAAAAATAAAAGAAGAAAAAAGAAAACCAGAGCTGGGGGCATCACAATGCCAGATTTCAGGTTGTACTACAAAGCTGTGGTCATCAAGACAGTGTGGTATTGGCACAAAAACAGACACATAGATCAATGGAACAGAATATAGAATCCAGAAGTGGACCCTCAACTCTATGGTCAACTAATATTCAACAAAGCAGGAAGACTATCCACTGGTAAAAAGACAGCCTCTTCGAAAAATGGTGCTGGGAAAGTTGGACATCCACATGCAGAAGAATGAAGGTAGACCACTCTCTTGCACCAGACACAAAGATAAACTCAAAATGGATGAAAGATTATGTGAGACAAGATTCCATCAAAATCCTAGAGGAGAACACAGGCAACACCCTTTTTGAACTCAGCCACAGTAACTTCTTGCAAGATACATCCACGAAAGCAAAAGAAACAAAAGCAAAAATGAACTATTGGGACTTCATCAAGTAAGAAGCTTTTGCACAGCAAAGGATACAGTCAACAAAATTCAAAGACAACCTACAGAATGGGAGAAGATATTTGCAAATGACGTTTCAGATAAAGGGCTAGATTCCAAAAATCTATAAAGAACTTATTAAACTCGACAGCAAAGAAACAAACAATCCAATCATGAAATGGGCAAAAGACATGAAGAGAAATCTCACAGACGAAGACATAGATCATGGCCAACACGCACATGAGAAAATGCTCTGCATCACTTGCCATCGGGAAATACAAATCAAAACCACAATGAGATACCACCTCACACCAGTGAGAATGGGGAAAATTAACAAGGCAGGAAACAACAAATGTTGGAGAGGATGCGGAGAAAAGGGAACCCTCTTACACTGTTGGTGGGAATGTGAACTGGTGCAGCCACTCTGGAAAACTGTGTGGAGGTTCCCAAAGAGTTAAAAATAGACCTGCCCTACGACCCAGCAATTGCACTGCTGGGGATTTACCCCAAAGATTCAGATGCAATGAAACGCCGGGACACCTGCACCCCGATGTTTCTAGCAGCCATGTCCACAATAGCCAAACTGTGGAAGGAGCCTCGGTGTCCATCGAAAGATGATGGATAAAGAAGATGTGGTCTATGTATACAATGGAATATTCCTCAGCCATTAGAAACGACAAATACCCATTTGCTTTGACGTGGATGGAACTGGAGGGTATTATGCGGAGCGAAATAAGTCAATCAGAGAAGGACAAACATTATATGTTCCAATTCATTTGGGGAATATAAATAATAGTGATAGGGAATAGAGGGGAAAGGAGAAGAAATGAGTGGGAAGTATCAGAAAGGGAGACAGAACATGAGAGACTCCTAACTCTGGGAAATGAACTAGGGGTGGTAGAAAGGGAGTTGGGTGGGGGTGGGTGGGGGTGACTGGGTGACGGGCACTGAGTGGGGCACTTGATGGGATGAGTACTGGGCATTATGGTATATGTTGCTAAATTGAACTCCAACAATAAGTAAATAAATAAAGAATTAACCAGAATGCAAAAGGAAGTGGAGAAAGACAAATGTGATCGAACGTTACTTACCAAATGGGAGACTGAACAGATGGCAAGGAGCACAGGCACAGAAATGGTAATGGAAATTGGAAGAGCTGAGCCTGGGATCCGAAGGCTTCTCTGGAAAATCCCAGAAAACGAGGCCAGAGCATAGTCCTGAGTGAGCTGTTGGGAGAATTGAGCTGGGCAGGGAACCCGACCAGCAGCACGGAGCACCAGGGTCTTGCCTTCCCGAAAACCGCATCAGGCAACCCCAGGACACCTGGCTGGGACGCGCCTCGCCCGGATTGTAATATCGTGGATTTAGTAAAAATCCTTGAAAGGTTAACTGAAAACAGCTAGATCCTAGATGTGAAGATGAGGTGGGGTACTAAGGTCCTCGGGAGGGGTTTTGGGCTGCTCAGGGTAGGGCTGGTGCAGGGGTGCAAGCGGAGGACCCAGGTGGGCAGGGGCATGGGGAGTAGGGTATGGGGTACTTATGGCGGGGGTCCCAGGGGGATGCAGGCAGGGCAGGAGGCGGCGCAGGGGGTCTTGGGGCTCGGGGGTGGGGTGCATAGGGATGTGTGCGTGGGATGGAATGTGGGGGTGACTGGGGGTTGCACACAGTGGAGGTGGAACTGAGGGGTCCTCTACCCAGACCCTCGAGCTCCAGGCGCCCCTGGGGCCCCCAGAACGACTCTGGGGTGGTGCAACATCAGGGGGGGTTGCTGTGGCACTGGCAGGTGCAGCTGAAGGCGCGGGGGGGGGGGGAGGGAGTGCACCAGAGTTTACCCAAACCACCCAACTCTCCGTGTGCAGCAGGTGAAGCTGGGGTACACGCAGGTCTCAGTGGAAGACTTAAAAATCCAGGCAGTGCTCCTTCGACGCCTGGAGGTGAATGGGCACCGCCCCCCCCCCCCCAGCAGACCTGACGCTGGGTCAGAGGCAGCAGGTGTCTCATGATGGGCGGTGAACCGAGTGAAGATGGTCGCTTTGTCTATTGAGTCCATCTCGTGGGTACTTACCTGACCAGGGGAGGTGCAGGATGGCAGGAGGGATGGCAGGGACTGACCACCGGCCAGCCCCCCCACAGATGGCTTTGGGTTTTAATTTTTTTTTTTTTTTTTACTGAACTCACCAACTGGTGCCACGAGGTTACCCCGGACGCTCAGTTCCTATTTTCTTCACTCCGCATATCACACCCCATGAGCAGAGAATGTCTGCTTTACTTTCCTACCTGCTCCCTCTCCCATGTCCCCTCGGGACTATGGAGCCAACAGAGAGCAAGGCTTCCGGGCACCAGAAGTGGCAGGCTGCATGCAGGCTGATGCCTGGAAGTCTCTAGATTGGCTGACCACACCCCACACGCCCTGGCTCCCTCCATCCTTGCTGTATCTGCCCCTGGAGCTTTCACCAACTGAGGGCTGAAAGAACCGGTGGAGTGCACCTGCAGCTAGCAGGACATGCCCTGCAGGCCATCACCCACCCCTCCCCGGGCAGCAGCTCCACAGAGCGGCCCATTGCTGGGCCTGGCCACCGTCACCAGACAGCAGCCTTGGGCCCCTGAAGCCAAGCATGTAGGACGTGTGCAAAGGGTGAACAGGTGCATTCAGGCTGCATGCTTATGAACCGGCATCACTGAGGCTTAGTCACCTGCTGGACTGGATCGAGACGCCACCTGGAAATACCCCACTTTGCACGAGGATTATCTCCAGTTGGAGGCAGTTGAGAGCAGGAAAATTTCCGAGGTAGGTGCGTGAAATGCACACACAGGAGTGCGCCCCGGATCTCGCCCCTGGGGGCCCTGCCTCCCTCCCCCTACCCAGACTGTCCCCACCCCAGCTGCTGACAGTGGATTACAGACAACGCTTAGTTTATTTACTGAGAACAGTCCTTACAATAAATAAAATCTGGGGCCACAAATGAGCTGCAGCACACCTTCCAGAAAGGTGCCAATAAGTCGGAACAAAGCAAAGAGGACTCCAGACTGTGGCAGCGAGGGGGGAGGGGGCCCTTTAAGGCCTCCCCCTCACCCAGGCAGGGCGGGAAGTGCCAGGGGACCAGGGTCAGGAGGCGCCCAGGCCAGCAGGGAGAAAACCGCAAGGGGAAGGGCAGGGTACTCTGGCAAGGGGTTCTGAGCGCGGCTCCAGGACAGACACCGGCCGGCCTGCACACCTGCCGCATCTGAACATCTGCACCTGGATGGAGCCTTTTCCAGAAGAGAGTCTATGCCCAGGGGGTCCTGGCCTCCGGGCCCCACAACCTCTGCTGCTGGCTTCTCAGGCCTTTTTATCACAGGGGACCTGGCTACTCCAGGGCAAGCACACCCTGTCCTCTGGACAGGTGTAGACACAGGTGAGTGGCCTTGGAGCAGCCTCCTGAGCATGGCTTTCTGGAGGCGCCGGGCCCCAAGCCCAAGGCCTGGCACTGGCCAGTGGGAGTGTCTCTGTGCCCCATGGCCAGACATAGGATGAAGCACAACCTGCATGTGCGGGCACATGCTCCCAGCAGTGAGCAGTCAGTTTTGTTAGCACATGCGTTATGTCTGCCAGGCGCTGGAAGCGTTGCCTTTGCCCAGAAGACAGCACTACCTGCCCAGGTGCACAAACAGCTGGAAGGCCCCTCACTGGGGGGCCAGTGCATCCCCAGGCCCGCCTTTCAGCCTACAGATGGTCATGGGGGTGGGGCTGCTGGACAGAGGTGAGAAGAGAGCCCGCAGGGTCCCTGAGAAGGGGGTCTCAGGGAAGGCATACAAGAGGGACCCGTCGGAGGCACTGTAGAAGGACAGGTGTCCGGCCTCATAGTCCAGGAAGATGCCCACACGCTGTGGCGGGTCCCGCAGGGGGGCGAAGGCCCGCTCCGAGGAGTTGTAGTAGCTGCCCAGGAACACCAGGATCCAGAAGCCGTTGCCCGCGAACAGCTCGCCCTTCTCCTTGCGGTTGGCGTCCTCCCTGCAGACACCCAGTGCCCAGCTGGCCCGCTCGCCCACCTCCACCTCCCAGTAGTGGCGGCCCGATGTGAGGGGCTCCCGGCCCAGTACGCAGGGCCCGGGGTCAAATCGCTCGGGGCTGTCGGGCAGGGCCTGCCGCAGGTCCCCCCGGCGCACGCTCCTCCTATCCTCCGACAGCACCAGCTCAGGGTTGGCGGTGTCGGGATCCAGGGTCACGTCCCCTGTAGAGAAGCGAGGTCACCCTGTAAGCTGGCAGGCCTGCCGAGCCCCCCGTGGTCAGGGCACCCCCCCGCCCCCCCGCGGTGGGCTGAAGCACTTGCCTGTGAGCCTACTGTGCCCTACGCTGCTCCTACTTGGAAAACATCACCTCACAGCTTGTCCCTGCACCTCAGAATGTTCTGAAAAGCAGTCCCTGTTCTGCTGCAAAGCAGCCTCCTTTGGAGGACTGAGGAAACCGCAGGTGCTTCCTACATGTTTCCACTCCTGGAGCCAGGTGTACTCCCAATGCCTGGGGCCCGTGGGGGTGTGGTCTCGCCTCTGCTGTTCCCACCCATGTCCACCAAGAGCCCTGGCTGGTGCCCGACAGCCTGGACCCCCAGGGTCCGCTCCCACTGCAGACCCACCACCCCCTGCTGCGTGCCAGCAGGTGCCCGAGACCAGAGTGCACCCACCTCGGAACCTGCGCAGTGCCTCCACCAGCCCCGGGACCTTGCACACCGTCTTCATCTCCATGGGCACCACCTCAGGCAGCTGCAGCTTCACGTCCTGTACCCTGCAGGGGCAGTGCAGGCGTCACCCCCCATGGCAGCCCACCCTGTACCCCGCCCGCCTTCCCTGGGGAGGGGCTGGGGCTCCTACCTGCGCAGGGTGTCCCTGATATCCTGTGGAGAGACACACGCGGCATCAGCGCCCATCCCCTGACCCTCCCTGTGCCCCAGTCACCACTGCCCCCCAAACTTTGCTCTGCCCACTGTCAGACACACACGTGATCAGAAAGCACGGGAAAGGGGTGGGCGATCCCTCCTGTGCAGCTCAGACACAGGGACCCTGGAGACACTGTGGGCACAGCCAGCCCTGCGGACCTGGTCTCACTCCCTGCACATGCTTGGAGGACGTGTGGTGTTGCCTACTGGCTTATGCACTCAGAGCCCCCAGGCCCCCTGGTGGTGGGACAGGTCTGCGGTACATCCAGGGAACCATGTATGTAGGGGGGCGCCTGCACCTACAGCCTGTGTTCCCAAGGCCTCTGACGGTGTATACCCGCCTCCCAGGAGACACTTGTCCCTTGGATGCTCCGTGCTCCTGTAAGGGCACATACTTGCACTTCACGGCACCATGGGCTGTGTCCCTGGGCTGCAGATCTTGGAGCCTGATCCCCAGGACCTCAGAAGTGGGCTGTGTTTGGAGATGGGGTCTTTACAGAGGTGGCTGAGGTACACAAGTTCACTAGGGTGGCCCTGATCCCACATGACCCGAGTTCTTATGAGAACAGGGGTCTGGGGCTCCAACATGCACACGTGGGTGACCGTGTGAGGACATGGGCAGGGACGCAGGGACTCACCAGGGAGAGAGGCCTCGGGAGGAGGCAGCCCTGCCAAGGCCTGGCTCTGGGGCCAGGAGACAACCAGCTTGTGTTATGCAGACCTCCCAGCCTATGGTGTTCGTTCCACAGCCGGAGCTGATGGGGACACTCGACAATGGCTGCTGAGGGAAGTCTTTGGTCTTTTGAGAACGGCAGGGACCTGGCTCACCTCGCCAATCACATCAGTGTACCCGTAGCGAGTCTAACCACGCACCAGCTATCAGGCCAGACCCCAGATGCACACGGTGCCTCACCAGCTTTCCCCTGATGTGGGAGTGGTGGTCCGACAAGGCACAGAGGCCTGAAAGGGAAAGGGAGACTGCGGGCTTCTCAAGATACTGTGCAAGCCTGGAAGTGACGTGTGCAAAGGGCCCAGGGCACAAGAAGCTTGGTGTGTGCAGCAGGCAAAGCAGAAATAACCTGTCCCTTGCTAGTTCTGCTGGGTGGGTAGCCCACCTTGCGGCCCTGGGAAGCCAAGGGGGTCATCCTGGTCGCCACAAGGCCCAACCCACTCAGGAACAGCGGGGGTGAACACACTGTACCAGGCCCTCCCTGCCCCAAGGGTCATGTGGGGGTCGTGATCTTAAGGAAGGGAGTTGGCATCCATGCAGACCACCTGGCCCTCAGACACACATGTCCCTGGAGGAAACGGCTCTACACTGATACAGGATGGCTACGGGCAAGCCCAGGGGGGAGGCTGGGACCTGGAGGCGTGGGCTCCTGGAAGTCACCGGACCCTCACTTCCTCTGTCCACGAGGGTACCCCTGAACCTGCGAGGGCACCCACCCCCCCAACCCAAGTGCAGGCACCTGGCCTGGCCCCAGCCTGGCACTGAGGTTCCAGTGAACAGGTGCTGCAGGTCCCACCACAGACCCCACCCCCACCCCGTGCTTAGGCAGGGGGGCTCCTCCCAGCAGCTGGTCACCCAGGCCAAGACCCAGAGCTGGAAGGTGTGAGCAGGTGAGGGCGGGGGCACGGTGGACAGGTGGCCACTTGTAGCGTGAGATGCAGGAGTGTGGCAGGCCGGCTGAGACCACCCATGCACTTAGACATGTCAGCGGAGACCCCCGACGACCTTTCATACTGGCCTGGGGCTGTCATCTCACTCCTGGGGCCCACCTCACCTCCTTCCAGAACCCCCACTTCCTCTGCCTTCCTCCAATACCCCTGGCTGGCTGCCCAGATCCCACTTCACTGACCACAGCCACTGCTTCTGTGACCTATCTCAGTCCTCGTCAGACACTCCCCCGCCATACTTCCTGTTTCCCACACTTGAAACCGCCTGGCGTCTGAGCAGTGGCAGGAGGGGCGAGTTCACACCCCTAGAGGGCAGCCAGGACCTCTGCCTGGCCCCTGAGGGACGGCTCACCCTCTGAGGCAGTGCCCTGGGCTGTGCACACAGCGGCCTCTCGCCGGCCCAGGGGCCAGGAGTCCCGCAGATTGTCGGGCGACTAGGGGCTGACGTGGGACTCCTGTGGGACGTCTGGTGGCCTTCCCTCCGCATACAGTGGATCCAGCCCTTTGCAGCCAACCTGGTGTCCCCATGGACCCTGGACGTGCCCCATGGACCAACCCCCCACAGCCCTGCCACAGCGCAACCACGCTCCAGGACGGCATGGCAGCCACTCTGCGTGGCTCCCCAGGGGCCCCTACACACCTGGCTGGGCACACTTGCCCGAACTACCCCCCACCTCCAGGGAGGGTAGCTCACCTGCAGCAGCCCCAGCGCCGGCAGCTGGCAGCGCCCCTCCAGCTCTGCGATGAGCTCGGCCAGCTGCGCGCTCTGCTGCCCTAGGCGGGTGGCGCTGTCCCGCAGGGGCGGGAGCACCTCTAGCTCCTCCTCCTCCAGACGCTGCAGCAGGCGCTGCTCCTCTTCTGCCAGCAGCCGGCGCAGCCGCTCAAACTCTGCCAGCACGTTCTGCCGCTGGCTCTCCACCATCTTCTGCAGGGGGAGGGGACAGCTGAGGCCTGGGCACCCCCGACCCCACCCTTCCCCCAGGGCAAGAGCAGGGTCCCTCCGAGGGGGGACTCCGGGCCACCGCGTCCTTCCCAACCTTGGGCCCCGGCCACCTGCCTGCCACAGGGCGCAGGTCTCCTCAGCCTGTGCTTGGAACAGCAGCGCGTCCTCCATCTGCTTCCGCAGATGCTCCAGGGATTTCTCCAGCTTTCCCTGCGGGTCGGAGGCAAGCGTGACCTGGGCTGAGCTAGTCCTGTCCCCCTCCCGGCCAGCGCCTACATCCCAGGCCCCCTGCCAGTGCTCCCGACCTCTCTTCCCGGCGTCTGGGCCCCCCACTGTGCCAAGCCCGCTCTGGGCCCCCGCAGGCCCTGGCCGGGGTCCTCGGCCATCTGACCCTCTACCCCACATCTAGCCGGGTAAAGCCTGCGAAGTGGCGCTGTGGGGACCCCGTGCCCCTGGGTGTGCAAGTGTCGGGCACAGCCTGTGAGACACAGGCAGATTCGCTGGTGTCCTCAGGACAAAGGCCAGCTGGGGGTCAGCAGATGCCACCCGGAGTCGGCCACTTTGACACAAGCACCATCTGGAGCCCGGGAGACAGGGCGCAGCACTTAGAAAGAGCACTCTGCCCTCCTCCTGTCTGCCTCCCTGGGGTTGCACCAGGGAGGGGAGATGACTGTCACAGATGAGTTTGCCTGAATGGGCGTCATGACTCATAACCCACATCTTCATCAGTTCCCCCCATGTGCCTCCTTGTTCTTACTGGCCCTAGAAGCCCAAATCGTGTTCCCTGTTTCTAGCCACTTCTCCCCAATTTATCAATCTATGTTAAAATGGAACATAAACTCAGTCTAACTAGGTTTTTTCACTTTTTCTCTGTGAAGCCCTTGTGCCATATGAAACTTAAGTGACTCAGAATTATCCATCTTTTCACTTATTACTCTGCCTTTGTTAGTTTAATTTGCAAGCCTCCCGCACAGTACCTAACAGGTTAGATCAAGGTTTTCTCTCCCTTATAACAGGAAAGATGTAAATGCTGCCCCAAGGGTCTTTATCAGGCCAGCTGGGAGGGGCCTCTGGAGGGCTGCCAGTCACTCTCTGCTTGGTGGCAGCACTACACACTTGCTGGGCTGACACATAGGATGGGGTATCCAGCATGTGATGTGCCTCAGAGTGAGAAGCAAAAGTACAGAGATCTGTATGAGGACGAGCCCACCTAGGCACAGTGGGCACAAGCTTGTTCTGGTGCCCCAGGGCTTGTTCTGGAACAGCGACAGACCGGCTGAGTACTGGACCAGCCCAGCCGACCCACGCTGCTGGCACGAAATGGAGCACAGACCCTGGTGTGAAGGCTGGAAGGGTGCCACCCATGTCCTCGGTACCTGGGTCCCCGAGGAGCCGATGACAGCAGCCAGCTGAGCATCTACCTGGAGGCTCCTTAGCAGAGGGCTGAGGCTGGTTTGGATTTTAAAGGAATGCATTTCCAGAACAGATGGGGGCATCCCAGCCTTAAACGGGGTGGATCCCTGCTGTGTCAGATGGCAGAGGAGCCCCAGGACCCCACTCACAAAGCCAGGCGCCCACGCTACCGGTCTGCACTCCACTCGCCCCAGCTTGGCCCACCCCGCAGCCCGGCCTGGCCCACACCCTCTGAGGGCTGAGTCCCTGTGCGTCTGTGTCCCTGCGAGGCCAGCTACCTCCGAGCTTCCATCCCCGCCTTCTCCTGCGCTGGCCCCATCCCTGCCATGGTCACCCACACCTGCCCGGAGCGCTCCAGACTCGCGCCAGGTGCAGTCACGGCAGGGCCCGCTCCTCCCAGAGGCCACGCCTACCCTGGTCTCCAGGCTGGGGCCTCACGGGTGACCGCTGTCGAGGTCCAGGAGGGTGCCCCCGTGGGACTGGGCGCGCGCGCATCCTGTGCCCCCTGCACCCGGCAGAGGCACGCCCACCCCGCGCACCTTGAGGTCCTCGGCGGCGTCCTGCAGCGGGCGCACGCGGTGCGTCCAGTGCTCTCCCGAGCGCTCGCAGGCCGCGCACAGCAGGCGCAGCTCGTCGCCGCAGAAGGCGGCCAGGGGCTCGCGGTGCGCGGCGCACACGCCCTGCGGGACGGGCGACGGCGGGTGCAGGCGCCGCGCCATCTCGGCCATCTTGGCGAGCGGGCGGTTGGGCCGCAGGTTCCTCTGCGGGGACAGTTCGCGGCACTCGGGGCAGGCGTACGGGCCCTCGGGCTGGCCCCAGCAGCGCCGGATGCACTCGCGGCAGAAGTTGTGGCCGCAGTCGGTCATCACCGGGTCGGTGAAGTAGTCGAGGCAGATGGCGCAGGTGGCCTCCTCCTGGAGGTTGGTGGACAGGTCGGGGGCGGCCATGGCTCCGGGGGCGCGGGCGGCCGACGGCGGGGCCTGGGGCGCGGGGGCGCGGGGGCGCGGGGGCGCGGGAGCGCGGGGCGCAGAGCACCGGAGGGCGCGGGCGCAGGGCTCCCGGACGCGGACAGGAAGCGGCGCCGCAGCGGAAGCAGGAAGCAGCTAGTTTTTTTTTTTTTTTTTTTTTGGAACAACCCGCTTTCCCCTCGGATTGGCCACGGCCTGTCACGCGGCCCGCGGGCCGCCGGAATCCGAGGCAGTTCGCCCGCGGGCCCGGCGGTGGCGCGCGCGGCTGGCCCCGGACTCCTGCGCTCGCCTCCCCGCAGGGCCGCTCCCTGGAGGGGCGGCGGGTGCAGATCCCTCGCCACCCGCGCGCCCCGCACGCCCCTGGGTTCCACGCGCGGCTCAGCCACTGCGAGGATGAGGGGCCCGGAGGCTGCGGCGCGCGCTCCCGGGCACCCCCGGGCCGGGCACGCTGGTGACAAGTGGACGAGGGGCTCCGTCCTTGGGGTACAGGGTGGAATTCGGGGTGTCCAGACCGCCCCAGGGCTGCGAATGGGCCTGAAGCTGCAGGGAGCGCCGCGTGGGAAGGAGTCTCTCCCACCCGTGACCCTCACCCTTTGCGCCCTGGCTTGCGGAACATCAGGGCTGGGCAGCTTGGAGGGTTTTAGCTAGAATCAATTTGAAAGGTTTCATTTTACCGTGACACCCTCCCCCGCCCCCAACACCCAGCCCAAAGGTGCAAACATGGGATTTACAGAGCACAAGGTCGTAGAGGAGGGAGGCTCCGGTGCGCTTGCACCATCCCCCACGTGGCCTGTGAGACCACGGGGTGCTAAGGGCAAGTGCACCTCCCCGCCTGCTCTGGGTGGCCTTGTTAGAATCGGTGCTCTCCGGAGCTCAGTGCTTTCAGAGTTTCCTTTATGAAGTATGTGTGAACACGGCCTTCTTAACATTTAAACTGCTTTAATCACAAGGATATCTCAGCTTTGTGAAATCACCCTGCCTGCTAGTGGCTCCCAAAGACTCCGCCAGAGATAAGCCTGGCAGGTGGCCTGTGCTGAGCTGGACCACCTCACCTTCCGGAGGGATCAGGGCTGGCCCCTCCCCGCCCAGCCTGGGCCCCTAACCCTTCACCCACAGGGTCACTGTAGAGATGACCATCTGGCCTGATTTGGGGGCCCCCAGGCAGAAAAAGGGTTGCAGGGGGCCAGAGAACTTGGGCTGGGCATAGGTGTGCAGGTGGGACCCATCCTTCACGTTGTAGAAGGACACCTCCCCTGCTTCGAAGTCAAGGAAGATGCCTACGTGGCTGGGGGGCTCCGCTAGTGTGACGGGGGTCGGGCTGGGCATGGTGGGCATGTACTTCTTCCCCTTGCACAGCTGCACCACCCAGAACCCATTCTCAGGGCACTTGGGGACCCTGTCCCTCCGGCTCACGTTGTCCCTGCACACACCCAGGGCCCAGAGTGCATCGCCAGTGAGGTTCATGCCCACCTCCCAGTAGTGCCTTCCGGAGGAGAAGGCCTCTGGCCCACAGCACAGGGGTAGGCCAGGAATCTGTCTTTGCCATGGGGCATGGGCTCCAGCGGGGGCGTGAGGTAGCGCCTCTGGCGGCTCTCGTACAAGAGGAGGTAGGGGTATGCAGTGGCAGGGTCCGGCACCACGTCCTCTGCAGACAGGCCGGGGGCCAAGGGAGAGGGGGGCTGAATCATCCGTGGTCTCCCTAACCATCCCCAAGGCAGAGTCCAGGGAATCTGGGTCACTGCGTGGGTCCCTACCCCACCTGCCGATGTTGGTGGTGCACGGAGATGGGAGCTAGGCGGCCCTTGGGCATCTCAACACGTGTTCCAGTGGGGACAGAAAGGGGAGCATCGCCCTGGAGTGCCAGGTCAGGGTACAGTTTGTGAATGTCCAGTAGAGGACAGTCGCCCCAACTGGTGGCTCACTGAGCGACTAGGGGTGGGGTGGGCACAACCCAGAGCACTGGGGCCCCCGCTTACCTTGAAAGTTCTTGAGCACCTCTATCTGCTCGGGAACCTTGCAGACAGTCCTCAGAACGGTAGGGGTGGCCTCTGGATACTGCACTCTCAGGCTGTTCTTCCTCCAGTGGACACAGGTTTCACTGTCCCCACCAGCCCCGTGCAGAGCCCTCCCTGCGCCCATCACCGCCTCCCCGGCAGGTGGCTCCGTACCGGCTCAGGAGCTCCTTCATGTCCTGGGAGACACGGGGGGGGGGGGGGGGGGGCGGAGGGGAGATGGGGCTTCATGTCTGCATGTCCAGTCTGCAGAGCTAGAAGGGCTTTATGACGTCTTCCTGTGGCCCCGTGCCCACTTTCCAGAGCCTACCCCTGCCCTGGCCATGCACGGGGATCCTGCTCTCCCCGGTATGACACTGAGGACACTAGAAGCTATCCTGCTCAGGAGGGGCGGTGAAGGGGGGAAGTGGCGGCCCAGGGATGAGACCAACAACCATCCAGTGGGGCCTTTTTCACTCCACCCTGGCCTTGAGTGAGGCAGAGGTCAGCGTACTAGCAGACCAGTTGCTTTTTATTTTTTATTTTTATTTTTATTTTTTTTTTTACCAGTTGCTTTTTAATAGAAGAAAGAAGGTTCCCCAAAGTCTGGGCAGCTGTCTCACTTATCACCTACAGCAGGCCGCTTCCTGGGCACAAAACCCAGAGGAGGTCAGGACAACAGACCAGACCCGGGGACAGACCCCGGCTGGCAGGGCATATGGCAGCCTGCACGGGGCATCTGCTTCTGCTGTGTAAACGTGCCCGTGTGTGTGTGATCTGTGTTGCTATGGATCCCACCACTCCATGTGCTTGACAGATCTCCCACACTTGGCCACCTCAACCCCTGCTCTCAGGGCCTTGGGGGCCAGCCCGTCCCTGGCAGGCCAGCTGGGCCCTCTTGGCTTTCTCTTTGGGGGCAGTGACAGTGATGCTCATCCTGCCCGGGAAGTTGTGGGTACCTATCTGGGCCACCTCCCTGGGCTGCACAGGCCTGGAGCCTGTCATAGGTGAACTGTCCCTCCAGAGTCATCGCCGGAGCCCCCACCCCCAGGACCTCAGTAGGTGAGAGGTGGTTACAGTACAGTGAGGTCACTAAGGTGGGCCCAATCCCGTAGGATCCGTGTCCTTGAGGCAAGAGGAGTTTAGGATGCAGACACAGAGAAACGGCCAGGTGAGGACATGGGGAGCAAATGGCCATGTACACGCCCAGGGAGGGAGGCCTCAGGAGGAACCAGTGCTGCCCACGCCCGGAGCACAGACTCCCAGCCTCCGGGATCCGGAGACAATAAAGTCTGTTGTTAGGGCCTCGTCTACAACGAGGCGGTCTTCCCTACGCAGCCTCAGCTGACTGGAGTCCAAGCTTTCCTTGTTTGAATCAGTTCCTGCAGTTGGCCCACCCTGACCACACCTGCACCTGAGCTCCTCCCCCACCAGCCATGTGAGCAGGGGTGCTGAGGCCCCTCCCAGGTGAGCAGGGTGCTGAGACCTAACCCTAACCCCAGGTGAGCAGGGGTGTCGAGGCCTCCTCCCAGGTGAGCAGGAGCATCTGCTTCACCTGCAGCATCTGTAGCGGTGTGTGCTGGTTCTTGTCTTCCAACTGCAGCAGAAGCATCTCCAGGGCGTGGCCCTGCTTCTCAAGTGCTGCGGAGCTCTCCCGTAACTTGGCCACTACCTCGTCCTCCTCCTCCTTCAGGGCCTGGACAAGGCGCTGCTCCTCCTCCACCAGGAGGAGGCCCATCTTCTCAAACTCCATCAGGATGCGCTGCCTCTGCTCCTTTACCTTCTCCTGCAGGGTCCCGTGGAGGGCAGTGGGCAGAGGTGTGCTCAGGCCCTGGCCTGGGGATCTGCTGCTCCAGTGTCCCCCATCTCTCTGGCCGGCTGCACACCCACCAGCTTGAATGCTGGCAGTTCCCCCCCTGCAGGGCCCTGGTGACCCACAGAAAAGGAGCCACCCAGGCAGGAGTGCAAGCATTTCTGTGGGGTGACCTGCTGAGTCCCAAACAGCAGTGTGCCGGCACCTGTGCACCCTTATCCACTGTGTCTGGACACAGCCAGCCTGGGCTGAGCACATATTCTGGATCCTGCTTCTGGTGGGAATCTGGGCTCTGTGTGTGTGTGTGTGTGTGTGTGTGTGTGTGTGTGCGCGTGCGCACGTGCTTATCCACACAGGACAGCAAGCCCCCGCCCCCTGAGGGCCTTCTGCAGGTTCTCCCACCCTGGCCACCGGCACCTGCCTGCCACTCCGCCAAGGTCTGTTTCTCCCTGGCCTGCATCTCTCTTGTCTTCATCATCTCCTCCCGAAGGGACCCAATGTCCGCCTCCAACTTCAGCTGTGGGGCACACAGACCACGGGATGTGGGGTCTGAGGCCCCCCTCCCCCAGCCTGGCCAACAGATGCACCTGCTAACACCATTCTGCGTGACTGTCCCTGTATCTACTCTGTGCTGTGGTTTGCATGTATCCTCCCAAGGTTGTGGCTGAGTCCTAACCCCAGCACCTTGGGGGGAGGAGCTGGGGCCTCTTGGGGGGCCATGAAATCATGAGGGTGGGCCCCCCAGGACAGGGCCCCTTGCCCCTCCCTTCGAGTGAAGACAGGGAAAAGGATGAGCTCTCCCCCAGTGGCACCGGAGCCCTGGCTAGCTGGGACCCCTCAACAACTGTGGCCCAGCCACTGCATCACCATGGAGGGTGCAGACACCAGGGCCGTGGGTGTCTGCTGAGGCTTGTGCCCGGCCTCCTTGTGCCCCCCCACCTCCGGCTGTCCATCCCTGGCCCCGGCCACACCTTGTGCTCCTGCACAGCCTCCTCGATGGGGACCACCGTGTGGGGCCGGTGCTCCCGCGACTCCCTGCACACGACACAGATGGGGCTCTGGTCGTCCTCACAGAAGAGCTTGAGGAGCTCCTGGTGCGCCTTGCACAGGTCCCTGCTCTGGAAGGCCGGGTGCTGGCGCGCCATCTCCGCCACCTTGGTCAGCAGGCGGTTGGGCCGCAAGTTCCTCTGAGGGGACAGCTCGCGACACTCGGGGCAGGGGAAGGAGCCCCTCCGCTTCCTGCCCCCCTTCCTACTTTTGGCTTTCTCCCATATTAGGCGGATGCACTCCTGGCAGAAGTTGTGGCCACAGGCGGTCATCACGGGATCCGTGAAATAGTCAAGACAGATGGAGCTTCCTCCTGCAGTTTTCTGGCGAGTTCCAAGGCATCCATGTCTCCTGGGGCAGGAACAGAAAGAACGTCCCTCACACCCTTTGCCCGGGAGCCCTGGGCTCTCCACGGCTAAGCCCTGTCTTTGGCCAGCCCCGCTACTTTTGGGGGGATCATCGTGCCAAGTTGGCTGAGAGTGCCCCCCCCCATGACGTCAGATCTAGCTCCTCAGGTCCCCGCTGCCCTGTCTAGAAGCCTTTAGGCCAGTCTGGAAAGAATCCCCCTCCCTATGTCCCCTCTTGGTGATTTTTCCATGGCTGACCACCCCCTCTGCTCTTTAGCCTTAAGTCCCTCCACCCCATCCACCCTATATTGAGGCGAGCCGGTTCTGCGGGATCCCTCTCCCTGAATGGCAATAACCCTGAATAAATCTGTGTCTCCTGTTCCAACTATGGAGCGGCTCTGGTCCTGGACAAGGTGCCTGCACATGTGCACAGAGCATACAGACAAACACAAGTGCAGCTGCAGGCCTACACATTGAGGCACATGCACACATGCACATAGTATACACACACATGCTCACACAGCACACGTGCACACAGTACACACATGTACACAGCGTACACACACATACACAGTATACACACATGAACACAGCACACACACAGGATACACATGCAGGACACACACATGTACACACAGATGCACATATAGTATACACACAGGCACACACACAGTATATGCACATGCACAGACACAGTATATATACACACATGTGCACACAGTATACACACATGTGCACACATAGCATACACACGTGCACCCGATATACACATGGGCACATGATATACACATACAATATACACATATGCACACAGTATACACACATACATGCAGTATATGTGTGTGCACAAACACTATACATGTGCACACAATATATACACACATGTGCATACACAGTGCACACACATGCCCAGAGGCACACACGCACACACACACAAACATATACACATGCACAGAGGCACCTACACGTGCACACACATAGTTCGGGTGGATTTACCCCTGACCTCATGTTGTGACCTTAGGCATCCCATTCCCTGACAAGGGTTCCATTTCTCTGGTGCTGTCTCTGCAGAGACTTTGTAGTCAGTCTCTCCCTCGGCTCTCAGCCACAGGAAGTGGGGGGCTGCCTACCTGCAGAAGCCGGGGAAGGGGGGCAGTCTGGTGAACTGGGGTCTGGCTCAGAATCTGGGGGCAGCGACTGGGGCCAGTGGAGATGACTGGCTGCCCTGCTTGCGGGAATGCTCCTTTGTAGACTGGGAGGGGGGCTACGTGTCTATAACTAGCTTCAACGCGGGGTCTGCTCCCCGGGTAGCAGGGCAGGCGGTTGGACCTGAGCCTCCCGGCCCACTGGGTGGCCACCTGCTGCCCCGCCGGTCTATGGGGATGTACTCACAGGGAGGGGCCGCAGGCCGCACCTTGCCGGGTGCCCCCAGCCACGCGCGCCCCCGACACCCCCAGAAAGCCTGCATCTGTGTGCTGAACGCCATCTGGGTGATGGCTGCAGGGGCGCAGGGGCCACGGAGGGTGCAGGGCTTTGTGGCGTCAGCAGGGGCGGGGGCAGCCATGGGGCAGGGGCGGGGGAGGCTAGTTCCGGGTTGTGGGCTGAAGATGGGGTGGGGAGGGCTGGGGGGGCCAGCAGCCTGAGGGTGTGGGCGGAGGGGGGCCAGCGCAGAGTGGGCCAGGGGTGGGAGGGACGGAGGGGGTTCTGGCTGCCCCTGCGGGGAGGGGGAGAGGGTATGGTAGAGAGCGGATGGGGAGGGGGTTGTGAGCCGTGGGGCAGGAGGTGAATTTCTTGTGGGGAAGAGAGGGGAGCAGAAGAGAGAGCAGGTGTGGGGGCCCGGTTGGGGGAGGTGAAGGGGTGTTTGGGGGGGCAGTGAGGGGGGTCACTGGGGGAAGGCAGGAGGGGTTGCCCCCTTGCCGGAAGTGAAGGAGTCTCTGTGAGGGAGGTGAAGGGGGACCATGGGGTGGGGGGAAGTATGGGGGTGCCCCATTGTGGGAGGTGAAGGGCTTCTCAGCTCTGCCTGCAGGCGGCCCACGTCTATGGTGTGGCTTTAATGGTGGTTAGCATGGGGAGATGGGTGGAGAGTGGAGCGTGGAGCCGGCGGGTCCAGATCCCAGGTTTGGAAAGGAGGGCTGGACCCCAGGGGCATGGGCAGGGCGGACCTGGTGTCTGCTGCACGTGCCCCGCTGGTTTGTCTCAGCAGAGGAACAGTGTGATGTGAAGCAAACCCTGCACACGGCCGCACTCACCTCCACCTGCTGTTTTTTTTTGCATGGGAGGAAGTGTCTGGAGCCTGTCAGTTAAGCTGCCAGCAGACCGAGTAACAGGAAACCCCTGCATTTATTCTGTGCGCACTGGGGAGGCAGCAACAGAAGAAGCTGGCTTGTTAAGCGGTTGGGACTCTTAGGAACCCTGCCTCGTGGAAGGGAGGGAGATGGCCTCTGTGAGGCCAACAAGCAGGCTCCTTTAGGAAACGCAAGTGGGTCTTGAGAACAGGAGGCAAGAAAGCTTGCGACCCAGTTCGTCTACACAGCTGAGCAGTCCTTCCATCTCTTTCTGGTGGGAACTGCTCTGGCAGGGCCCAGCTGTGCATAGTCCTCAGGAGCAGCTCCCAGGAGGCTCTGATTTGTATCTGCAGAGTCTTAAGTGACTTTATCTTAAAATACTATGGCAACTCTGGGGTCTGCAGTGGCCCCCACACTGCCCATGCCTCTCCAGACCTGGGTTCCTCACGTGAGAGGCACGCACCAGGATTCAGGGCTTTCTCTGCCTGTGGCTCCCTCCTCTGATCCCACCTATTCTCCCAACGCTGTCTCTTAGAGAATTTGGTTTGAATGAGGATCCAAAGGAGGCGACGAGGTCTTCAGGCCTTTACATTTGCTTCCTCTTCTCCAGTATTTTCCCTCCTCCTCCACCATCTGCAGGCCAGTGACTGCAGACACCGGCCGGGCGCCCTCTGGGCCTGTCGCCTGCTTCCGCAGAGCATTCCTGAGCTTGACGCTCCATCCTGGGAATGCCCTTGCCACTTGTGGTGGGAGATTTGCTTCAGAGCTGAATTGTGCAAAGGGCCACATACTAGGATCCCTTCCTTTCCCTCCAGGGAGGTGGTCAGTGCCGGGCTGGAATTTATAACCCTGACATCAAGAGTTAGATGCCCAACCAACCAGGCCACACAGGAGGCCCCTGGAGGTCTCTATTATGTTGTTTGCTCCACACCTGACTGCCTGGCCTCTCTCTACCAGATTGTAGCGCCAGTACCTGCACTGCTGTCACCATGTCTTCCAGACCCTGGTTTCCAAATTTCTTGCTAATGTGATTGTTTCTGATATGTCATTACCATAAAAATTGCTGTATCTGTCAGGATTTTGTGTCAAAAACAAACAGTCCTGCATCCCGGATGCAGCATATTGCCACTGCATAGGTTATTTCTCATACTTACTGCATGTGGCCCATGGGCCTTAACCGGGGTGGAGAGGGGGGAAATCTTTCCTTCTACCTTCTTAGGTCCTATACCTGGGGCCTGTGAATTAAACAGATAACTGCCAGATTACTAGGCAAGAAGGCATACATATTTTATCTTAGGTTCTTAGTATGTATGGGATAGAAAAGAAGTGAAAACACAAATTGGCTTTTATTCCATTTTATTTTATTGTTTTAAAGATTTTATTTGTTCATGAGAGACACAGAGAGAGAGAGAGGCAGAGACACAGGCAGAGGGAGAAGCAGGCTCCATGCAGGAAGCTTGATGCAGGACTCGATCCCAGGACCCTGGGGTCATGACCTGAGCCCAAGGCAGACGCTCAACCACTGAGTCTCCCAGGTGTCCCAACTTCCATACCATTTTAACAAAGGGTGATAAGTTGTGGAGAAGCACCTCAACAGAGGAAAAGGGGTATGGGCATCAGGGGGTGAATTGTGGGAAGGTGACTGGGGGGAATTAAAGATAGGTAAGAGTTGTTTATCTCAGGCCCATCTGGTGATGAGACTTACTGTCCTCTTTCTGTCACAGGAGACAGGCACCTTTGCAAATGGAAATTTTTGTACAAATGGGAATTTCTGCTTTGCTTTTAGGCAGAACAGGTGGAAAGGCAGAGAGCTCCTCCTGTGTGTGCTGTTTGTCGATCGCCTTCAGCTCAAAGTCATCAGTATGCCACGGTGGTGTATTTCGACATTGCACATCCTGATCCCCCCCAGCCTCTGGGTAATCACACTGCAGCATGTCCTCACTCAGAAGGCCAGTTCAGTCCTCTACTGTAGGATGGGGCTCACCGGCTCAAAGCTAGTTATTCTGGAAAATGCAGGAAGGTTGCTCCTCTGGTCTCATGAGGCCCTCACTTCATCTGAGGCACTGGGACCAGAGCCACTGGGCTCTGCAGAGATGGCGGCATCTGTTTGGGCTTAGCAGGTGGTGGCAGCTTCTGCAGGCCACGTCTCTGCTCCTTCCCACATCCTGGTCCCGGCAGCTGAGAGCATGAGGGCTTTTGTGCTTTGGGGTCTTATGTTAGCCTTTTCCAGGTGACCCTCTTCATAGCAGCGAACTGCACGTGGCCCTCAGTCCAGTTTGCACCCTCTCCCCTTGGACAGTGGTGGGTGTGGGTCAAAGCTCTGAAGCGTCCAGGGTTGCGTCCCCTGGCCACCTGCCCCCAACCTGAGGGGCTGCCCAAGGTCACCTCATCAACACACAGGTGTGGTGGGCAGGGCCTTGCTATAATAACAGCCATGAAATCACTTAGAAACTTCCAAAGGTTTTGAGCCCAAATGTATATTTCTTATCGTAAACCACAGGATCACGGCTGCCTTCTCCTCATGTGCTCACATGGCCATCCCTCTGCACGTGTCTGTGTCCTAACCTCCTCCTCTCAGAACAGCGGTCCTATGGGATCGAGACTTACCATATTGACCTCATTTCCTCTTGCTATCACATCAAAGGCCCTATCTCCAAATTCAGTCTCATTCTGAGGTCCTGGGAGTTGGGGAGCAGCAAGGGATTTTGCAGGGTCTGGGGGTACACACAATTCGGCCCATCACAGACAGTGGACACACTGAGCGTCCCCTTGGCTGGCCTGTCTGATGTGATTCTCTGACGATCCTCTGGGCCAGGTGTTGACACTCATGCCCGAGGGCTCATGGCCCAACTTGGAGCAGGTGTGTACACCTGGCCACAGACTCAGGTAAGAAGGCCTGCAGGACAGGCTGAGTGGGAAAGGGGGAATGGGGGACAGGGGCTGGCAAGTGACCAGGAGTCCTCTGCTGGTCTGAAAGCCCCCTGGGAACTCCCTGGGTGCAATGTGAAAGTGGCCCCTGTGCTCAGGGGCCAGGGAGAGATCCCAGAGACTGGCTGGCGAAGGGCCGTTGTAATAAAGCAAAGGCATGTACACACAAGCCTCGGGTTGGGTGCCTGCAGGACCGGCGGACCCCACACCGCCTGCCAGATCTTATGAGCTTGGAGAGGCCTTACCTGGGCTCAGGCACGTATGCCAGGCAGGCGTTGCACGTCAGCATCTCAAGGCTCTGTCCTTGGAGCAGCCCCTGGGAGCAGGAAAGACAAGTAGGGCCCATGTGCCTAGGTAAAGGGATAGCAGTGGGGAGCCTTGGAGTGCCCTGATCCAGCTCTCAGGTTGCCAGGTGATCACGTCTCTTTGATGTCCTTCCCCAAAATTGTCCCATAAGAAGGGTCAGGGGTGAGGACAAGACGAAAGTCCTCTGATTTCTCCTGACTCCCCAGTCAGGAAGCTGAGCCTGGTCTCTGCTGTGCTCCTGTCATAGGGCAGCCCCAGCCACTTATCCCCAAGGAGAGCACCGGCCCCCTGGGGAATCCCCTCCAATGCAGCAGTGGTGCCCTCCCCTCCCTGATGGCCTGTCAGGGGCTCTGAACAAGGACTGTTTGCTGTGTGAGGAAGTCGCTGGAGTCCCTGTGGCCCATCTGTTCCTTCAGTGTGGCCTGGAATGGCTTACGGGATGCAAATGGGTCCACAGCCCGTGAGGAGCAGGATCAGAAACACACAATTCATTGTATTAAATAGGAAGTTCACCTACCAGACTATAGTAGGCCTGCACTATGGAGAAGAGAAGGAGATTCCTGGGGAGCCTGGGAGGCTCAGTCAGTTCAATATCTGGCTTCCTGCCTAGGTCGAGATCCCAACCCCTGCCCAGTGTCCCAGGATCCAGCCCATCAGGCTCAGTGCTCCTGCTTGAGTGAACCTGCTTCTCCCTCTCTGTCTGCCTGCCACTCCTCCTCTTGGTGCTCTCTCAAATAAAATCTAAAAACCCCAGGAAAGTAGCAACCCCTGGCCCGTGGGACACAACTGAGCCACCACATACCCCCTCCCACCCTCTCCCTCCCTCCCATTAACCAGTGTGGACTCAGTGTAGCTGGTCTCATCAGTTCCATGTGTGTCTGACCTCCAGCCATGATCATGTGCTGGCCTGGTCTGCCTTCATTTACATTAAGAACTTCTATTCTTGGGGCACCGGGTGGCTCCGTGGAGGATCGTCTGCCTTGGGCTCAGGGCATGATCCCAGGGTCCTGGGATCGAGTCCCACATTGCGCTCCCCACGGGGGGGCCTGCTTCTCCCTCTGCCTGTGTCTCTGGGTCTTGTAAACACATAAAATCTTAAAAGAGCTCCCACTCTTGATGTCCTCATGGAGGGTCCTCTCCGCCCCCCACACTGCGCTCAGGCCATCCCCTCAGGGCACACATGGCCTGGGGACCTGGGCTCAGGACCAACCATGTCTAGCTAACTGCAATGTACCCATATGCCAGGGACGGGCAGACACAGGTGCAGGTCCTGACAGGTCTATAAAGCTAATCAGGCCTTCCAGGGGCTGGGGTCTTCTCAGACCTCAAAGCTACCAGGGACACCCAGCAGCCCTGCTGTTGGGCTGCACCTGCTCTGCTAGGGAGCTCAGCTATACCGGGCACAGGGAACCACGTGCTTCCTGCTCTGCTGCCGCCCGCGTCCCTGTGGTTGTCTCCCTTGGGCTCTGCTGTGTCTGCAGGGTGCTAGAACATTCTCCAGAGAGCAAGGCTGTGGCTGTGCACAGATCTGAGGGCCAGAGGCCCCAGAAGGGACCGGGCTGTGGGCTCAGACACCTTTCAGAAGGGCTTCCTTGACCCTCTAAGCATGTGCCCAGAGGGACCGGTTTTCTCCTGGTCCACCTGGCCTCCTGTTCTTCCCATTGCTCCTGCCTCAGCCCTCAGGTAGACACACAATGCCAGGGTCACGGCAGTCCAGATTATCTGCCATAGGTCATCTGCAGGTCCTCCAAGCCTAGCTAACCTCCTTCTTACCCAAGGCTATAGGACATGGGCTTGCAGCCAGGACCTGCCAGGAAGAGCCTTCCACAACACCCGCCCTCCATCTCAGCCTTACAGCCGGCCTGGGTCAGCCCTGGGCTTATGGCCGACTCACTCCCGGTCCCAGGCGGGAGGCTTCCTGCCGCCTGCCAGCACTCCCCACGGAGCCGGGAGGTAGGTTCCCGTGGGCGTGCCCCGGGGCCTGCCTCTGCCCAGCTAACTTCCCACACCTGGGACCCTCCTGGAGGGCTCACAAACCCCGGGCGGGGTGCTCCAGTTCCCACTCTAGCTCACTAACCAGAGCCGGGAACAAGAACCAGTCGGAAGACACGGGGTTGGCACAGCCCCCTTTGTGGGCCGGCGGGGGCTCTGAAAAGAGCCTTTGGGGGGAGTCCTGCGGCGGCGGCATGGTGATGCGCGGGGGCCTAGGTGCGCTCCCCGCGGATGCGGCGCGCCAGCTGGATGTCCTTGGGCATGACGGTGACGCGCTTGGCGTGGATGGCGCAGAGGCTGGTGTCCTCGAAGAGCCCCACCAGGTAGGCCTCGCTCGCCTCCTGCAGCGCCAGGACGGCCGAGCTCTGGAAGCGCAGGTCGGTCTCAAAGTCCTGCGCGATCTCGCGCACCAGGCGCTGGAACGGCAGCTTGCGGATCAGGAGCTCCGTGGACTTCTGGCAGCGCCGGACCTCGCGCAGGGCCACCGTGCCGGGCCGGTAGCGGTGCGGCTTCTTGACGCCGCCGGGGGCCGGCGCGCTCTTGCAGGCCGCCTTGGTGGCCAGCTGCTTGCGCGGGGCCTTGCCGCCCGTCGACTTCCGAGCCGTCTGCCTCACGCGGGCTACTGCAGGGGCGCGGCAGGGCCCGTTTTTTTATAGAGGCTGCTGCTTTCCTATTGGTCAGCCCCGGGGTGGCGCCATGTCAGGCTGCACTCTGGTTGGTCCGCGCCAGCTCCACCCCCGCGGCCCGCTCCTAATTTGCACGCGGCTCGCGTGTGACCTCCAGTCCGGTGAGGACATGCCTGTTCCCACGCCTGCTGCCTGGCGGGCAGGGGTCAGGGGCAGGTCACCTTGCAAGGGCTCCTGGGCCGGGTGGATCAGGGGCCTATGAGACAGGGGTCGGGGTCCAGGGGTTTGGGGTCTGTTGGGTCAGAGGTCAGGGACGGGTCATTTCCCCGGGAGTGCTGGGCCTGTGGGTCATGGGTCGGGGTCTGGTCACCTCCCCATGGGCATTGCCTCTGCCCACATAGCTCCTCCCTTTCCCCCCCAGCACTCCTCTTGGCTCACCAACGCTCTAGCTCCAGAGTGGGAAGAACCTTTTAGAAGGCTGCATTCTGAGTTGGCCTTTCTGTGGTGATAATGTTGAGTTTCCCCACCAGTGTCGACAGGGGTCCCTTCGCTCCAGTGGCCTGCCTAGAGCCCCTGTCTGCTGGCTTCATCGGGGATGCCTTCTTGCTAGGTCACGATAGGTGGTGCACCCTCAGTGTCCCCATCCTTCCCTCCTGGGAGATGAGCACACTGCCTCTCCCCACAGGGGGATCCCAACACGATGCTCGTGTGCACCGATCGCGTGCCGACCCCTGGCACCCCCTGATACTTGGCCTGCCCCAGGGTCCAGCCTCCCCATGCTCCCCCTTCAGCCCTTAGCATTTCTAGTCCTGTTCCTGCTCTCTGGGGAGAAGTGTCCTTGTTGCCTGACCCTCAGGGCCCTTGCAGACTCTGAGGTTGTGGCTCAAGGGTGGCCAGGTGCACCATCCCAAGACATGCACCTTCCATGTAAGAGCTTTCTGAGCTAAAGGTGCGTGGAAGACAGCAGGTGGGAGGGGAGGGCACAGAACCCCCTTTTCTGCCTGGAAACAGAGCTGACTCCCCTGTGAAAGGTGACGGGTCTATGCTCAGGGAGAGGAAACGTTGCCATCATGGATGGGAAGTGAGAACCACTGGGGATCACGCTCTCAGACCTCATGGATTGGCTCTTACCTACCTTTGGTCTTGCAGATGTCTCCACTGATGTCCACAAGTGCCCTGCTTTTGAACCTCGTGGAGGAGCATGTGGCTTCAACTGCTTCTGTGGGTCCTCATTTCCTTCTGAAGGCTCCTGAGTCACAATAAAACTGAAATGCTTGGGGCCTCGGGGTGGCTTGCATGATTAAGCCTCAGACTTTTATTTTTTTTATGATTTTATTTATTCATGAGACACACAGAGAGAGGCAGAGACTCAGGCAAAGGGAGAAGCAGGCTCCCCATCGAGCAGAGAGCCCGATGTGGGACTCGACCTCAGGACCCCTGCGATCATGACCTGAACTGAAGACAGATGCTCAACCACTGAGCCACCCAGGCATCCCTAAGCAGCAGACTCTTGATTTCGGCTCAGGCTACAGTCTTGGGGTTCCGGAACAAGCCACATGTGGGACTCGGTGCTCAGTGTGGAGTCCGCTGGAGATTCCCCCTCTCCCTCTGCCCTTCTCCCCACTCACACTTACTTTCTCCCTAAAATAAATCCGTAAAATCTTAAAACAGAAAACTTAAATGCTTCTGTCTTGTTAATCTGTTTTTTGTACAGAGCCCCTGCCAAGACCTAAGGAGAGTAAGGAGTTTTCCTGCCCTGCAGGTCTCTGGGGGGATGATGGCAGATGGATGAGGGGTTCGTGGCATTGGCTGTGCCTTCCACAGGAGCACCCAGGAAGCCGGCCCTGGGGCTTGGGCTGCGTGCCTCTGCAGGACCCCTTGGTTCCTCCAGAGCATTTGGGTGCCTTGTCTGAGGGCCCACTTTTCTGAACACAAGAGCTTTTTGTTCTAAGTTTTTGTTTCTAGATTCTCAGGGGACTCGAGTCCACTACCTGGGCACGTGGCGGAATGTCACCTGGTTCCCTTTGAACACAAAACATGGACTTGGGGGCCACCTCGTGTGCGCCCACCCCTGCCCCCCACCAGATTGGAAACCAGAATCTGTATTCCTCGCATGTGTTGATGCAAACTGAGCAAGCCCTTTTAAAGTTGTTTTTAAAGATTTTATTTAGTTATGTTAGAGAGACAGAGTGCTCGGGTAGGGGGTGTTGGTGCAGAAGGAGACACTCAAGCAGACTCTGTGCTGACCTCAGAGCTGACATGGGGCTTGATCCCACAACCTTGAGCTGAAGGCAAGAGTGGGATGCTTCTTTACTAACTGGGCCACACACCCAGGTGCCCCCATCTTTTTTTTTATTATTATTATAAAAAAGGAAAAGAGTTCTGCTGGAGGAGTCAGGCAGCTGCTTCCAAAAGAAGTGCATGCTCCAAGGAGGGGACACTGGCCGCAGGGTTAGGTCTGTTTTCTTTTCTTTCTTTCTTTCTTTCTTTCTTTTTTCTTTCTTTCTTTCTTTCTTTCTTTTTCTTTTTGTTGTTGTTGTTGTTGTAGGTCTGTTTTCTTACATAGATTACAAGGTACCGTGATGAAGGACATCCAGAAAGTCAGACTTTATCTCATGTGTTTAGCGTGTGCAAGGCTGTGGGCCTTTAACATGGGAGCCCTCGAAGATTTCTGTTTTTCTTTCCATTTGGTATGCTCTGTTTTGGTTACATATATATTAATGAAGCAGACGTACTCTGAGTTGGTTCAACCTTGGTAAAGGTCAAAGTATAGCTTCCCGGGAGCCAGGAGCAGGGCCCACACACATGAAAAGCTGAGTTTCTTCATCACCTGTAAAACTGCTTTTTAGTTGGTGCAGTTGACAGTTTTCATGATCTCAGCAACTGAGTTCCCTGTGCTTCCGACTCCCTCAGGGGTGCCAAGGTCCAGGGAACAATCACCCCCTAAGGAAACTTCCTGAGGGCGCCTGGGGGGCTCTGTCAGTGAGGTATCTGCCTTGGGCTCAGGTCATGATCCTGGGGTCCTGGGATGGAGCCCCACATGGAGTCCCTAGTCAGCGGGAGCCTGCTTCTCTGTATCCCTCTGCACGTTCTTTCTCAAATAAATGGATAAAGTCTTTAAAAAACCCTAAAAACAAAACAAAAAGAACCTTCCCAAGAGGAGAGATATCCTCTCTCTAAAGACACTTTCAGGGATCCCTGGGTGGCGCAGCAGTTTGGCGCCTGCCTTTGGCCCAGGGCGCGATCCTGGAGACCCGGGATCGAGTCCCACATCGGGCTCCCTGCATGGAGCCTGCTTCTGCCTCTGCCTGTGTCTCTGCCTCTCTCTCTCTCTGTGACTATCATAAATAAATAAAAATTAAAAAAAAATAAAGACACTTTCAGATGTAAACAGTCCCTCCTGGAAGTTTTGGCTTGTCTGGGACGCGTGCATTTTATGGATGGGGTTGTGTTTGCTCTGTGCATACATTTGGTGCCAATCACTGTGATGAGAACAAAGGCAAGTGTCATGTAGCTACGGTGATACTCCCTTATGATGCGCAGCGAGCAGCGTGCCATCCCTCAAGGAACTTGAGGCTGCCTTAAGGTTGATGTTTTATTACGGGCTGAACTGGACCTCTGGGGTCCCTGAAACCTCACTTTCAGCCTCCAGAAATCCCCTAGAAATTAGATTGTCTCCACGCTCCCTGCACAACCTTAGAAGGATGTCAAGAGCCACCCTCCCAAACACTGGTCAGCTCTCTCTGCCTGCAGGTCCAGTCCCCGTGCTCTAATATAAACACCTTTTCTGCAGCAAAGACTTCTCCACAATTCTTCCTAGACAGTCGCATTCAGTGGCTCCGCCTCAACTACACAGCCTCTAGCCTGTGGTGGAGGAAAGCCTCCCCAGTCTGGAAAGTTCTTTCCTTGTTCTCCACCGCTCACGGTGTTGGGAGTTGCACGTACAACTCAGGAAACTCAGGGCCATGTGTAGCACTTTGTGGTGGATCCTTTGGGCCCTGGAGGTCACGGGGGTTGACCTTGCATATCCTCTCTGTGGGGTGTTCCCATGAGCCCGCAACACGTGGGGCTTCCCTGGGTAGGAACTCCCTGTTGTGGCTCAGAGTGGGGCCTCCCAGTGGCAGATAGCCCTGGATTAGCAGGTACACAGGCTTTTCTGGACCTCACAGGTGTGATGGACGTGTGGGCTTCCAGCTATCCCTGGAACCTTCCTGTACCCCAGCTGATACCCTGTGGCCCGGCCCCTCATGGGAGACACCTGCTGACCGTCGGCCAGCCCTGCCTTCCCATGCTCCAGGTCTGGAGCACAATGGGCACTCAGTTCCCTTGCCTAGTACCCCACAAGGAGACCATGTTTGGTGCCAGGGGCCTGGGGTGTGTCCCAGTGTCCCAGCACCACCCACCGTCACCCGCTGTGCCACCAAAGTACCTCCAAACCTGCACACAGACCCTGCCTGGTTGTCTTGCCATGACAGGTTTCCCATAACAGGGTCTGTTCCCTGTGAAGACCCATTTCATAAGAGGGTCTGCTTGGAATTGTCTCCATAGTGCTGATTCCCCTCGGCCCCACAGTAGGAAAGAATTCAGGCTCAGGGTTCAAAACATTTTCCATGATGTTTTGTAACTTTTTCCTTTTTAGGAGGTATCATTTTTCTGTGTTGGTGAATAGGTGACAAGAATTTAATTCTTCTTGGATTTTTGGGGGCCTCATGAACCCCTCTGGCCGTTCGGTGACATTTAAAAATGCATACAATGAAATATCTCAGAATGTTTGGAAATGCATAAAATTTTTCAAAACTGCAAAGCAAATCAGTGATACTGAATTAAATTGTCAAAATATATACTAAATTGGGGCACCTGGATAGCTCAGTGGTTGAGAGTCTCCCTTGGCCTCAGGGTGTGATCCTGGGGTCCCAGGATTGAGTCCCACATTGGGCTCCCTGCATAGAGCCTGCTTCTCCCTCTGCCTCTCTGTGTCTCTCATGAATAAAAATAAATAAATAAATAAATAAATAAATAAATAAATAAATAAATGCGTTCACAAAGTTAATTTCTGATATACTCACATGCGTAATATATGTGTGGTTGTATGGATACATATATAAATGCGCATCTTTATGCCAAGTACTGCTAGGGAAGGAGTAGTAACTACTGTCACTTGGAAGTGGTTGTAGGCATTAGGATGGTTGGAGATCTCTGCCATGCTGTGGTGTGAGGAACCCATCTGTGGTCCTCCGTTTAGCATATCCATTATGATTCTTTTTTATATAAATTTATTCTTTATTGGTGTTCAATTTTCCAAAATATAGAACAACACCCAGTGCTCATCCCATCAAGTGCCCCGCTCAGTGCCCGTCACCCAGTCACCACCACCTCCCCTTCCACCACCCCTAGCTCGTTTCCCAGAGTTAGGAGTCTTTCATGTTCTGTCTCCCTCTCTGATATTCCCACTCATTTTTTCTCCCTTCCCCTTTATTCCCTTTCATTATTTTTTATATTCCCCAAATGAATGAGACCATATAATGTTTGTCCTTCTCCGATTGACTTACTTCACTCAGCATAATACCCTCCAGTTCCATCCACGTTGAAGCAAATGGTGGGTATTTGTCGTTTCTAATGGCTGAGTAATATTCCATTGTATACATAGACCACATCTTCTTTATCCATTCATCTTTCGATGGACACCGAGGATCCTTCCACAGTTTGGCTATTGTGGACATTGCTGTTAGAAACATTGGGGTGCAGGTGTCCTGGCGTTTCATTGGAGAAAGGGGAACCATCCTGCACTGTTGGTGGGAATGTGAACTGGTGCAACCACTCTGGAAAACTGTGTGGAGGTTCCTCAAAGAGTTAAAAATAGACCTGCCCTCCGACCCAGCAATTGCACTGCTGGGGATTTACCCCAAATTTACTCCATTATGATTCTATGTACACTTTAAGTTACTTCCTTAGAGTTTGAAATATACATTTATAACCAATCTAAGTCCCCTTTACTTTTTTGTGTATTTATGTTATTTTTTACTTAAAAATATTTTGTTTATTTATTTATTTAGAGGGTGCATCAGCATGGGGGAGGGGCAGAGGGGAAGAGAGAGAATCTCAAGCAGATGATGCAATAAGCATGGAGCCCCATGTGGGGCTCGATCTCATAACCCTGGGATCTCCACCTGAGCCAAAGGCAAGTGCTTCACCCACTGAGCCACCCAGGTGCCCCTGAATGTTTGTTTTTTGCTTACTTTTGTTTGAGTATGGATACATAGTACTGCATGAGTTTCAGGTGTCCTAGGTCCACTGTAAATAACACTACTTTGCTTACTGGCAGTTCAGACAACTCACAGGTGGAAGTGCTGAAGCACCCCCATCCCCCACTTCCCTGAGAGCTCTAGGCCCCTCCTCCAGAGGCTCTTGTCCGCACATCGTTGCTGTTCCTTCTCTGCACAGTTGTAAGACCATTCAAGAACAGAGAAGTAGATTTTTTAAAAAATATTTTATTTATTCATGAGAGATACAGAGAGAGAGAGAGACAGAGACACAGGCAGAGGGAGAAGCAGGCCCATGAGGGGAGCCCGATGTGGGACTTGATTCTGGGACCTTGGGGTCACGCCCTGAGTGGAAGGCAGATGCTCAACCACTGAGCCCCCCAGGGGCCCCAATCACAGTTATTTTAAATTCCAGTCTGATCATTCCAATACGTGAGTCAACCTGCGTCTAGTTCTGATGCCTGTTTTTCTCTTCAGACTGTGTTTTGCTTGCCTTTGGGTGTGTCTGGTGATTTCTGGTTGAAAGGCAGACATGACACATGTAACTGGTGATAAGAGCCATACTGAATCAGCTCTGAGGGTGAGGATCTGTGGTGTTCTAGTTGTGGGGTTGGGCTGTGCTTTGTGTCTACTGTGGCGACAGGCCCCAGTAGCTTCTAATACCCCTGGAGTTCTTTTTGTCCCTAAAACCTCAGTGTGAGATGGAGTGGCTCTCTGGCTTTCCTGCTGTGACCTGCTGCCATGAGCTGCAGCCCTGCTGAGTGCTGGTAGGCTGTGGGCAGGGGCAGCATGCTAGAACACTCTGATTCATTCTCACTGTCTTTGTGGACCTGTGTTGCTGGGCTGTGACCTTCACAGTGCATCATAGCTGATTTGCCTTCTGCAGGTAGGGCAGGGTGGCCAGGGGGCTTGGGTTGGATGAATGCCCTGCCCTGGGGGGCTGATGCTCTGCTGGATCTGGGGTGGAGTGGGGGATCTTTCTCGTATTTTATCCAGAAAACATGAGGGGACCCCTGGCGGTAAAACCCAGCTAATGTGTGTGATGTTGTGATTCACAATAAGAAATACACATTTGGTCCTAGCACCCAGTACTAGAAAAACCTCCTAAAATACCGGAATTTCCAAGAACCATACAAGTGTCTTTGTTAAGTACTGAGGTGACCTTGGGCAGCCCCTCAGGATGGGGGCGGGTGGCCAGGGGACCCAACCCTGGGAGCAGAGGGTTGGATGCTTCAGTCCCACCCCCTGACCTCTGGGAGGGAAGAGGGGTCAGTCACCAATGCCCAGTGATGTAACCAATCACACCCGCATCATGAAGCCCCATGAAAACCTGGGAGGTCGGACTTGGGGAGCTTGGAGCTGGTGAGCATATAGAGACGTGAGGAGAGTGACCTGCCCCAGGGCTGGCCCCGGGTCACAGCCTTGGATAATAAGCTGGTAACATGGGACGTTTCTCTGAGATCTGAGCCACTCGAGCAAGTTCAGGAACCCAAGGAGGGGCCGTGGGAGCCTCTGGTCTGTAGCTGGGGGGTCAGCGGGGGCGACCCCTGGACTTTTGGCTGGAGTCTGCTGTGAGGTGGCCTGTGGGGTGTGACTCCACGTGGATGGGGGCAGAGCAGAGTTAATTGCCTGGAGTTGGGCACAGCACAGTCGTCAGACCTGGACATAGCGCGGTGGCAGGAGTCCGTGCTGAAGACCCTGCAGACTGCTGCTCTGGGCTCGTCCAACAGTCAGCCTCTGGGCGTCATCGAGAATGACCTGGAGTGCTCGTACTTGTGGGTGGCTCCAGCTCCCCTGCCCCATGTAAGCAGATCTCACCTGTGACATTCTGCCTGTACCTGTGTCTCCTGATGTTGGAGGCACTCTGTGACCACGGTTCTCTGGGGAGTTCACAGAGTTGTTAATTTTCAGTTTCATGCAAAGATGGGAAAGACAACTTCCCAGCTTTTTAGTGTTGAGCTGAAACGTGGGCTCTGCAACGAGACGTGGATACCTGTGTTTATCCTGGGGACCCAGCTGCACATTACCAGCCCCACCCAGCATGCAGGGTGGCTTTGTCCTGCTAAGGGAGGGACATGCCAGCCATGGTTAGATGGTCAGCTTACAGCCAGGTTCACCTTAGGGTTGCCGTCCCGGCCCCGTCCAGGTGACGACCCCCTGGACCTGAGGATGCTTTCTTCTCTTTGCTGACATTCACCTTAAGGAAGACCACGGAGTCCAACATTGGCACAGGGCCCAGGAGAGGTGGGATGGGCCTGACCAGAGCACATGGATCCTAATTCTGCTCATCACTGGGTCACCTAGAAAAATTCGGGAACACAGAAAGCACCTGGTGTCGCTTCATTTTATGGGGAGGCTTGAGTGTTCTGTAGGGTGCCTGGATTGCACACGATTCTGGGTGTGTCTGTGTTTCTGCATGAGATTCACTGGTGAATGGGTGGCCTCGGAACAGCACATGGCTCACCCCAATGCGGGGGCGGAAGGGCACCACCCAGGCCGCTGAGGGCCTGGAGAGAAGGAGGAAGCAGGAGCTGGCCCCCTTTGTCTGGCTGAGGAGCCAGGACATCCTTGTTGTCTTTGGTGCTCCTCGATCTCTGACCTTCAGACTCAGAGCCAATAATTATATATGTGTAATACATGTATCTATTTTTTATTAAATGGGTTCATAAAAGGAACATACCTATATGTGCATATCTATATATCTTATTAATTCTATTTCTAGGCAGCACCCTAACTAATACATACCTTTTCAGACAAAAGTGAAAATAAATGAAACAAAAGCCTCCTTGAACATGGGGCTGGTGCATTTGAGAGCATGCTAGAAGAAATGAATGCAGCTTTCTTAGTAGGGGTGGTAGTGAGCTGGAGGAGGGGCCAGGGCACATCAGTGAAGTCAGGAAAACTGGGTTGGATTGTGTAGGGTACAGGCCATTGAATTTTTAAGTATTTTAGGAGAGATGAATGCTTCTATGGATGGCACCTCCTTTAGAGCATGCTCCCCCAGGCCATTCCACTGTCTCATCTCTTGAGGGGCAGACGAGCTGGTCAGGCACACTGGATCCAGGATCCAAGCCTGTCACCAGGTATACCAGCTCCAAGTGAGGTTTCAGGACGGCCGAACATGTGTCAGAACCAGCGGCTCTTTCCAGAGATCCCTCCAGCTTTCATTCTGGTGTCTGATGACACAGGACCTTCGACTGCTCCTTTTTTTTTTTTTAATTTTATTTTTAAGTCATCTCTACACTCAGCATGGGGCTTGAGCCCCCAACCCTGAGATCAAGAGTCACACACTCCACCAACTGACCCACCTTCTGTTTCTTTAAATCATGTTTAACCATCTATAGACTTACAGACATTTCTTCATTCCATTCTGCACACATTTTCATCAAGGTTATTTGTAGGTTTAAAATTTTTAAAAATATTTTAATTTTGATGTATTTATGTATTTATTTGGCTATATTGAGTTGGTTTCCTTTTTTAAAAAATATTTTATTTATTATTCATGAGAGACACAGAGAGAGGGGCAGAGATAGGCAGAAGGAGAAGCAGTCTCCCTTCAGGGAGTCTGTCGTGGGACTTGATCCCAGGATTCCAGGATAATGCCCTGGGCCGAAGGCAGGCGCTAAATCGCTGAGCCACCCAGGGATCCCCGAATGGGTTTCCTTATTACATTTTCTGTTCCTTGCTCGTAGTTGACTACTGCATTGGCGCAGTTGACTTGTATTTGTGTAACTGTAATCTGTCATTCCTTGTTGTTTCTGCATGTTGGATACCTGTTAGAAGTTGGTTCTTCACTCAGTACTGAATGACAGAGGACATTTCCAGAATGCAGGTGAATAGAGATGGAAATGAGGGGTTTCTCTGATTTGTTTCCAGCTCTAACAGTAGCCGTACTAAAGGAACTTCCCGGCAAAATGATTCTGGGCTTCCACTGATCCTAACTTACAGATGATTAATTTCAAAAAAAATTATAAAATATTAATGATACTCATAAGCCTTTTCTCTTTGGATCTAAGTGAGGTGACTTATATTCCCAATAATACTGAACCATTCTATCATTCTTTCAAGAAATTCAAATTTGCCGTTGTCATTCTTTCACGATCCTGGAATCAATCAGCTAATATTTAAGGTAGAATCTCTCTGTCCTTATTTATAAGTGACGCTAGTCTGTACTTTTGGGGTGGGGGGGGCTGTTGGTGGGTCATCTTTATCCATTGTAATAACAGCATTCTACTTTTTTTTCAGAAGGAAAAAATGAGGTTTTCCTGCATTCTTTATTTTGTGGAATTTATCAGTAGAATTTTATGTTTCTTACTAGTTTAACAGTAATTTGCCAGGAGGCCTGGCATTTTTTTCTTCAATACTTCAGCCCTTTAAAAATCCCCACTGTGTTTGAAATGATTACCAGCAATTTAGCTATGAGCACATATTAGAGCTGTACTACGGTCTTACTGCAAGACATACGCTCAATCTCAGTCCAAAGGAGAACTTTCTTTTAGGATAGATATTTACAAGAAAAAAATGTCAGAAAACCATTGTTAACCTAGATTAAAAACAGTTCGGTAACATCCCTGATATCTTAAGTATAAAGAACATCCTCCATTTTGGAAAGGAAGAAAATCAAACTTCCCCTGTTTGCAGATAGTATGGTCTTTTTTAAAAAGATTTTTAAAAATGTATTCATGAAAGACACAGAGAGAGAGAGGCAGAGACATAAGCAGAGGGAGAAGCAGGCTCCATGCAAGGAGCCCAATGTGGGACTCAATCCCAGGACCCCAGGGTCACGACCTGAGCCAAAGGCAGACACTCAACTGCTGAGCCATCCAGGCATCCCAATATGGTCTTGTATATAGAAAAGTCTTATTCTTTTAAAGAATTTATCTGTTGTCTCTCTATTTCCTTGTATAGGATCTTCACAACTTTTATCCCCTTTCCAAATGACAGATAAAATCCTAATGGGATTATGTTGAATTTATAGATCAGTTTAGGAGAAAATAGATTTTTTTCAAATTTATTTTAATAGCCAAGGAAGCAGGTCTCTTTCTATCAACCTCTCAGTGAGCTTTATATTTTCATGAAAAGAATCCCACTTTTTCCAAGATTATCCTTGTTTATTTTATTTAATATAATGAGAGAAATTTTTGCCATTCGATTTTTTTACTGACTCATTTGCAGACAGGACAGATAATTTAGTACATGGCTGAATTTCTGAGTGAGCCCGTTCAATCTAGTTTGTTTGGCTCTCAAACATTAACATGCATCTGAGCAGAGAGCTGGGCCTCATTCCCTTTGTGACTCAATGGGTCTGGGGTGACCCGAGTTTGCATTCCTAATGAATTCCCAGGTGACCTGATGTTGGCCCAAGACCACACTCTGCAAACACTGCTCTGGGATGCCCAGGTATTTAATATTCTCATATACGTTGAATATTCTCATATCGTTTCCCTAAAAAAACCAAAAAACCACGAAAACACGCCGAAACCCTCTTCCTCTCCATTCTTTGATATTCCGGAATAAAGATGATACTGGATTTCTTTGTCAGTCGGAAGGTGATGGATTTCACCACTGAGTCCTACTGGGGCTTCATCACCATGAGGCCCCGTGAATTCATCAGCACCAGGTTACGGGCACTTAGGCGGGCGCGTGATGGGATGAGCACTGGGCGTTATACTATATATTGGCAAATTGAACTTAAATTAAAAAAAATTTTTTTTAAAAAACAAAACAATAAAAACCATCAGGAATCCCAGCTACAGCCTCCATTTCCCCCAGTCAAGCGCCCGGCTCTCCAGAGCGCCCGGAGCAGCGCTTCTTGGAGGGTGTCTAGGGCCATCTCTGCTCTGATTGGCTGACTTCCCCAGCAATCTTATCCAATCAGAGAGCAGAGCTGCCTCTGGCTATTTACATATGCTCTGTAACCCAATCACATGCTGGGTTCCCCCAAGTCCTCCTTTGCATACAGGCCATATAAATAGAACCCCGGGCGGGGGCGGGGGCGGGGCGGCCCAGGGCGGGGGGGGGGGGGGGGGGGGGGAGAGCGGCCCACCCCAGGACCCTGCTCTGTCAGCTCAGCGAGTGTGTCTCTGCGCGGGAGAAGCTTGGCGGTGGGAAGGGTGGGCATCCCAGGGGGCTTTGCTTCTTTCCACAGTGAGCTCGGGGACCCCCTGTAGGAACCCCAAGCCTCCAGCTCCTTGCCACCCAGACTGCATACTGCTCCCATAGCATCTGTCCTCCCAGATCGCAGCTTAAAGCAAAGCCCATGTATTCTGCCGCTATGCAGGTGGGAAGTCCAGGCTCAACTGGGCTCATGTCAAGGTGACTTGAAGGTTGCTCTCCTGTCTGAGGGCTCTGGATGACTGAGCGCGGGCTCACTGAGTTGCTGGCTGGGAGGAGGTCCCTTTGCAGCTGACCGGGTGTGAGCCCAGCAGACCCTGGTGGTCCCCCCACTGGTGGCGAGCTGACCCCTCCTGCTTCAGGTGTGCCTGATCTCTGTGCTGGGTCTGTCACTCCAGCTGAATCAAGCTTTCTGCTGTTAAGCCTCCTGTGATTAGATGGGGGAATCTAGGATGATCTCCTTATCTCCAGATCTGTGGCCTTAAGACTCCTGCCAAGTCCCTTGGGGGTGGGGGCTGCAGTCTTCCCCCCAGAGACCCTGTCAGATTTCCCCTTATGACTTGTGCCATCATCCATTTCTCAAATCAGTGAGGTTCTGTAGTAGAAACAGAGCCCATTCCTCCCTAGGTGGGCTCACACGAGTTAGCAGGACTCATACCAGCGCGTGAACATTCCCAGATGGCTTGACCACTCTGGGCGTGATAGAGCTGGAAGGTATGTTTGCTTTAGGAAATGGCCCAATGAAGCAGGGGTGTGTTGGGGAGCCCCAACACTGAAAGAAAGGCATGTCATGTCTGAGTTTTCCCCGGGGTGGGAATACTTGCCTGCCAGAATGAACGAACACAACAGTCATGGGGGATGCATGGGATGCTGGCGTGAGACCACATTACGGCTGAACACAGATACAGAATGTGTTCACAGCAGAATTCGTCTGCTCCCTGTGGAAAGAAATGAGAGGACTCGTGGGATGTATGCCACACACGTCTATGGCTGTGGCTCTGGTGATGACCCTACAATGATGAGGGTCTTGCTAAATTAGGTGGCCTCAAGTCTTTGTGGTTCACACTCAAAACAAACAAAAACACAGTTGACCCCAGGACAATGCAAGGTTAGGTGTTGATCCCCTGAGCCGTTCACAATCCGTGTATGACTTGATTCCCCCAAGACTTACTCACTAAGAGCCTACCGTTAACAGGAAGCCTTACCGAAAACATCAACAATTGATTAACAGGTATTTCGTAATTATATGTATTATATACAGGATTCTTACAATAAAGTAAGCTAGAGAAAAGAAACTGTTATTAAGAAAAATGTAAGAGAAAATACACTTGCTGTTGTACTGTACTGTGTTTATAAAAATAATCAGTGTATAAATGTACCTGCACAGTTCAAACCTGTGTTTTTCAAGGATCAACTCTGATGTGTTACATAACTGTTTTTTTTTTCCTTTAA